CTGATCATAGAGTTGATCAATGAGTAATTTTGTTGAGACCTAACCCTGATAGAAATTGCCAGTTTAACGCCAAAACAGAAGTATGGGCCTCACTTGTTTGCCAAGACGTAGTCTATCTAAAAAAATTTAGAAGAGCTATAGTATGACCCAGAATGATATTTAGTCTGGCGCTATGTTTAATCAGTAGCGTTCGCCAGTCTTTGCTGCCAGGAAAAAAAAAGTTTGGGCCTTACTTGTTTACCAAATCTATCTAAGAAAATTAGAAGGGTTTAGGTATGGCCCAGAGTTTTGTCTGGCGCTATGTTTTATATATCCACATAGTGTGCACTAATCTTTCCTCTCAAACTGTTTCTGAAAGAGATACTATTATAGAGTCTTGTATATAACTATATTTATTGCCGCTACGTTTTATAAAAATTTATTCACTTCCTCTTCCAAATATGGATAAAGGCATGAAATTATTAGCGGGTAGATTAACCGCACAAAAATATCGAAAAATTATTCAATTCAAACGGAAATTAAAAGCTATGAATAGGTTAAGTGCAACAAATAATTTTAATACACAATCTTCATCTAATGCGGGGAATAATCAAAATAATATTGGTGAAGGTGAATGCTGTAGTGAAAAAGACAGTTCGACCGAGTATAATAAATACCACGAAGAAAGTTTTAGGACCGAAGACGGAAGAGAGACTGTAATTGACCTTCATAATACACTCGATAAGGAGAAAAATGATGATTCGGAAACTAACTCTGGAAACCATAGTGACTCTGATATTGGGCGGTATTCATAGTCCGTTCTTATATTCAAGATCGTCTTAAGAACGAACTTATATTCGCTCTCTTCGTCAGACACAATCTATGTGTGACGAAGAGAGCGAATATAAGTCCGTGCTTAAGACGATTTTAAATATAAGAACGGACTATGAATACCGCCCATTGATTTCAATGACATTAGCGACAAATCTGACGGCAGCGTTGATAGCAATAGTGATGATATAGATATTGAAGTTCGACAACATCAAAATCAAAACGAAATTTCAGCTAAGTTACGCTCTTGGGCCATTGGATGTCGAGTTCCTCACTCGACACTACATCCTTTACTAAGCATTCTGAATCCTGTATTGCCAAATTTACCTAATCCAAAACTCTTTTACAGACAAACAAGTCACATTATTTTATAACTAAAATGCTCGCTTTAGATGAAACCGAAAGACAATATGCTTATTTTGATATCGAACAGGGATTGTGTACTTACATAAATTTAGATTTACATTATGCAAATATTTTATATCTTTTAATTAATATTGACGATATCAAATTATTCAAATCGTGTATAAAGACGTGTGGCCTATACTTGTAAAAGTACAATTCAAATTACCATTATTATTAAAATTACCATGGCTCTATCGTTCATAAACCTATGTAGGGCCATGATAAATTTAGTAAGGGTCCGTTTAGAACAAACACGGTCTAATAGACGTTTT